GTTAAAGTCAATCTCAACAAGTCGCAAAATGTCTTCTGTTCTTCATCTAATTCATCCAGCATGGAAAGTTCACCTTTCATGAATTTGTCTTACAACATTCATGTTCTACCTCCCTCCGATGTTTTGCAGCAAACTCAGCGGCACTCCACGTGCTACATTTGCTGCAGACTTCCATTTAAAGGCAGTTGGTTTTTTTCTTTAACCCTGATAGGGCTACCTGTTTTTCAGTTAATCTATAAACTAGCATCACCTATATCTTTCGTCGCATCTGGTAAACCTTCCTTTCAAACCTTGTTTGAATCAATTAAGTTCGAATAATTCAGTCGTCTTTCCAATTGTGATGGCATTCCACCCTCATTATTTTCGGAGCCGTCACGTTGCTACATGTACCGTTATTGCTTGAATCCAACTGTTGGTGTTTTCTACACCACCAAAAAGTGACTAAAGCCCATTTTGATGAGGTATTCGTACATCCCCGTTTATGCGTGTCGACATGTAACTAATCGAATGACAACATCACTGTAAATAAAATCCCGTTTGCAAGAAAATGGTTATATTAATAGAGGACAGCATTCAACTTCTTTGCGAGATGGAAAGGATGACAAAATATTTTAAATCATTTGCAAAAAGGAAAACAGAAATTGCCTCCCATTGTCACCAACCCTTTGTTGCAAACCTTTGCGTTCACCAAACAATCTTTCCTGCAACACGGAACATGTATCCGTTTTCGCAGCACAATGAATGTTAGAGTTTTAAGGTCGCTTGAATTTGGGAAGCGTATTGCAATAAAATATGTGGTACGGACGCACAGCAAATTTAATTCTAAATAGGCCAGGCACTACATCCCTAAAAACGTCGTTTTTTGTTTTTTCCTACATAAAGTGATGTCCTTTTATCTACCGAAGTCTGATTAGATTACTTCCGGTAAATGCCTTCAAATGGCTCGTCCAAAGAGGAAAACTTACGGTGAACCATTGGAAAGTAGTGGTTTCGATGTTAGCTAAAAATATTTTGTGCACTGAAAAAGTACACTTACAAAATACAAAGTATGGAAGGCCAACAAACGTTAATATATAGCAAAATCAGATTCCAATCTGTGCTTAGTGCTATCGTTACCATCTAAGATTCAAAAGGTATGCGCTGTAAGTTCTGCGCATGGTATAGAATTCAAACGCACGCAATCAGATCTGAGCATCCACCATTTGTCAACAGCTACTTAGTGCAGCTCGTATTGTGCACAATACAGATCCATGGGCACTGCGTAAATTATGCATTCAGTTGCATTTTTAATTGCTCTCACGATCTGAACCCTGGAGCGTAAAACTGAAGAATAAACAGCAGTAGCATTTTTGAAGCCATTTCTGTACACAACTGGTGGCTCGTGATTGCCTGATAATATGTGAACTAGCAAAGGCTCAAATATCCAAGATGGGTTTGGGTCATAAAAATTGCAGACGCATATTTGCGTGCATATTACTGTGCGCGATAATCTTGTAGATTACGTATGCTGCAGCGTAGACTTATGCGGATATCTTGCCTAAAAATAAACTGCTCCATATCGAAGGTACTTTTCTGCTGCTCAAACGCCATATGCAATAACTGATGCATAAAAATTCAGAATTGTCACTGTGTGGAGTCAGCAGAGGTTGGGGAGTTATGTCATCGATCCACCAGTAACTTGCCAGACTGCTTGGCATTCTAACAAGTCACAAATCATTGCAAGATGTAGACAAGTTTTATCCACCTTTAAACATGTACGTTCCCCTGCGCGTCGGCCCTCCGCATGCTATCACCGCGCTCATTGACACGAGGAGACATAAAGTACTCTTTAAAATAAGTTGTTCAAGCAGTGATATTTATAGCTTTTTGTGGGTCAAGGCACTCTTCATTGACGGAGTATTGCGTTTCGGGAACGTGGGTGACGATCCTCATGTAGATGTTGGATCCTATCAAAACCAACACTGTGACGTGTTCCACTACAATTACTTATTCGGAGCAGTGAATGTAAAGGCATCGGCGTGAAAAATAAGGAATATTCTGTAATATGAAAGCACATGGAGTATTAAATTGACTACTCAAATTAGTTTGCTACCCACCAACAGTTGCACAGCAAACGACAAATACCTTTCATAATCGTAGCTTTTCATGGTGCTGAAACCTTTCATAACATTTAGTGGTTACCCCATCAAACAGAGCAAGTAATCTGTATGCAAATGAATACACATATCCGTAGTTGTAAGGAATTATTTCCACTCTAATAGTCATGACATCACCTAGTAAATGGCAAAAGATATCAGCAAGTCAGAACTAGAATGATAAACTTAATTCGCGTCAACTACTGGCATGAAAAAACGAGTGTACTGTGTTCGCCATGTCTGTGGACAAGACCGAACCAGTCACATCAAGGTCAATGCATAACTTTAAAATCACATGAGCTTATTGGATAAATAAGCAGTATGCCCTCTACTACTCAACTTATTGCCACGGGGGCACGCTGGATAGATGAAGAGGCTGACCAGCAGTTGCATTCTCTAGGTTTTACAGCATGATGAGCCGCCATTGTCGTATCTTTGCATTACCTACGAAGTCATTTATGTATTTTTCATAGTGGCCGTTCAAAAGTTCTGAGAGGCAAGATAACTAAACTTTCCAAAATGGAAAAAACATTATTTTCAACATTATTTACCAATAAAGACCTATCCAGTTCCCCACCAGACGGCTACATAGTTTTGCTGCCACAGTTTTTCATACTCACTAAATTTAGTCATTGCTAACTGGATAAGAAGAGAGCAAAGCAATAACTGAACAGCTTTTAAACTAATCTGTTTCCCACCTATTCTGCTTATCTCAAAACATTCCATAAATTATATAATAGTGCTGGCAAGCAATATGGTATTAGTTTATTAATTAAAACACGGATACGTGTTGTACAGTTCCCAATCAAACGCTCTCAGTCTTTGCTGAGGGGATTAGACACAGCTGGGAAATTTTGACTCAATTTTCCGTGCTCAACAGTGTGAGGCTGATAAAAAGAAATCGCCCGATCATCAATCATTATCACCCTGCATATGCGATAGATAAGGAATTGATTGTGTGAGAACTCTTGGCAGACACGCCGCAAACGACCAAGATTTAGCTTTCTTATGATTTAATTTGTTTGTGTCAACTAGCCTTGAGACATTACGGGCTTATTTCAGTGACAAGCGTAATGTATTGTTCTAATGTGTCTGGCATTCTGATAGGAAAATTTGTCTTCATCAGAGTTGAGCTAGACTACTGCGCGAAGTGGTTCTAAATGGTAGCGACAGGGAGCTCACTTTCTTTGGGTAGGCCAAGAATAAGGGATGTGGTTAGTTCAGGCCAACCTGACTTCAGATGCGCATGGAGTTGTATAAGTTGAGACTACCGGGACTGCTTTGGAATATATCTCACCTAGAACTGTTTGATAGTCACTAAAAATCAGGAGTTTTACTGAAACGTTAAAACCTTTTCTGCTCAGGAAAAGTGTATTCCTTATTTTTTTTAAAAACCAAGAGCCATTTTTCCCTGGACTGATATAAAAACGCATAAGATCATAAGAAACTTTTGTCAAAGTGAGAGGAATTAGTTTGTGTGTGATTTTAGAATGCTAATTTTAAGGACGATTCTCCTTACAAGACCCTGCCAGCGGATAAAGTTTGGTAGTAGCATATGCTTATACAAAACAATGTGCCGTAGCGGCATCATTAATTCGCTTCCAAATGTTTCCTAAAAAACGTTTACGAGGCTATTCGCGGGACGTAGAGCAAGTAGCCATTGAGAAGGCAAATCGAAATTTTTCAACGTTTCTTTAGTTTTACTATGTTCTACGCATGCACATATAGTCTGAAACGAACGTTTTTCCAATCGGCCAGTCAACATGATCCCTGATTCAGAAGAAATCATGTGTCTATTCCCTAAACTTTTTGTCTGTTTGTTGTGGGTTGTGGTGATGACATGTGAAAGAGGTAAAATGTGCCTGAGAACCTCTTTTGAAATTGGGTTTCTCGAAAACTTCTAGGTTTAAACTACGGCAGCTTAAAACAGAAATCTTGGGGATTTATGCCACTGCCGATACACATTATTCAAAATCTTCCTTCATTGTCAGGTGTATATAAGCTCATCCAAGGTGCGCCTTCACGGACGGTTGAATGTATACAATTCCTTCTTTCCCTCATCTTCCAGTGTCTCACTTTTTCTATTTGAAATGGTGCAACATTATATAAATGATATGAGGGACATTCCAATTTGTCTAGAGAAGGTTCGATATATGGTCGACTTTATCACTGGAGCGTCTTACACATTCAAGGATTTTTCTAAAATGTCTACGGACGTTTACTATTTTGTATACAATACGTAACGACGTAAAATATCACCCAACTGAAGACTATGTATCGGTTTTCCATTATCAGATGCCGTGCCTTCCGTTGAGCCAAAACGACCATTCAATGAGATCTTCACTTCTCAGGCTCAAAGGCAGAATGAGATACCATTAATAGTTGAAGTTGTATCTTCTAGAAGAGCGCATGTATATGAAGTTATCATGGGACCCATAGGAACAGTCGTCACTAAGGCTGAAATTCAGATATGGAAGTATGCTACCGAATCTCATGGCGAACATATTGGTCATTCTTTTTCATAGCTATTTGGTAACCCTCCCCTCTTCACGGTTGCGGTAAGCTTCGGCAACTGTAATCCTATCCACACTGACTAAGGAAAGCCTATGAATTTTAGTCACAAAATCTGATCAATAAATGTGTTTACATTATCTTGTTGCCTGATGTTTAGTTCTAGGCGATAGTGAATAACCATGGTATTGGTTACCATACACGACCAGAGACCGTTTTCGTCCGCTGTACATTCAACACTGTTTTCGCTCTTTTCTTATTGGCCGGTTGGTGCAAAAACAAAATTGCCCAATCAGGGCGACGAATTGGATCAATCAACACAGCGGCCAAGCTGAAGTCGTTCGTAGTGCATAGGCGAATATGTGCAAAGGCCGTACTCATAAGGACTATATTTTTCTATGAACCGCGCAAACATGCCTCCTTCCAAATCCTCCTGGTAGTTATCACAGTATTACTAAACGGTAGTATCGTGGAGCTCCTGAAAAATCGTTCTTGGTACACTGATATTAAATATTCTCTTGTCACCCGACAAGGTGAGTTCGACATGTTCTTGCACAGTCTGAGTAAAACAGTAGAATAGTGTACGAAGTTCAACACTGGGGAACAGTGCCAAACTTCTATTGACCTTATTGAACTTCGTCTGCTGTAAACGACTTTACTTTTTTTATTATCCTACAGTTTTTTGTCAAATTTGCTACCAGTTTGCAACGGACCGAAGTTTGGAATGAAATAAAATATAGCCATAACAGATTATTGTAATTACACTGCACAGACTGGCGGTCACGGTGCTCTGTAGATAAGCAAGAAGTTTCACACATCGCGCGCGCTGCCAATTATTCGACTACAGATATGTAGACCATTAGCAAACCTGCAACAACCGGTCGAAACCCTCCAGCATATGTAGAAAACTATATTATACCAGGTTCATCCATTTTCTATTGCAGAGTCAAGTTTGTCTGTATCACCAAGCATCGTTTGTTGTAGATAGGTTTTATTCGTGAAGATTTTTAGCATAAACACTACTATTTACCTGGATAATTGTTGAGCAGTCACGCAAACAGAGATGTGAGACTGTATGTGAGGTATTTGTTGATTCAACGCGTACGATGGTTGCGTGAAAAAAATTGTCCACTAGGAATAAAGCACGTGTTGGTCTTCCTCCACAAGACTTGCAAAAATCTTGAAAAATACTGGTGTGAGGTCCGGCAGTTCCAGTATATTTGCATAAAATTCATCATATCATGTTCAAAATATGGTTGAGAAAACTTAACTACACAGACACGCCATGTCCATTTTTTAGTGGTACAGTAGTGCTCAGCTACCAACACAAATTGTAATCTGACTTACCACTGTGACCATTTATGCCCCAAACCTTCTTGAACGGACTTGAGAAAAGTAAATAAGCTTTATCTCATTTTAACCAAGAAATACGTAAGAATCTTGGCTTACGATATGACTTTTATGTCTGGAGAACTTTTCGTCCGTGCTTTAGAGACGACAGTTCAAATATTTCCACGCGTAACCAATCATATTGGTCTGAGGTGTACATGGAACATTAAATTTCTGTGTTCCGGTGGAAATGCGGACCCGAATTTAGTCGTCGACCAAGTCGAAAGTTTCCACAGTTTCCTGTGGTCGAGTGTCTTTAATTTGACGGCATCGAAATTTCGTTTTAGTTCAAATAAGCAGATGTTTATTTTGGCACTTCCTCTGCTTCGCCATATTGGTCACTGTGGGTGATTAAAATTCACATCATCCTATGGAATATGTTTTGTCCAGAAACCTCATAGGACAGCTTTTTAGATCATGCTTGCGAAATCAAAGCAGCGTTGATTACAATATTTTGGTTATTCTGTTGTAATGTAAATGGCCAAATTGCTTGAAATTCTAAGTGTCTGATGCAATGTTACTAATGAACAGTCACTGAATAACCCAGGTCAGTCTCAGATGGCAAGCAGCGTTGTCTTCCAGTCTTTTAAAAAAAAGCGCAAATTCGAATAAATGGTAGAAGGAAGCGCCTAACGTCATTGCATCGAAAGAACGTCGCCACACTGTAATTCATTCATTTACCGAAATTTTGATAGTACATATCTATTTATAAAATTTTCCAATTGTTTTGAAAGCAAAATTCCATATTGAATTTTCGAATTTGATCCGCTTATGAAAGATAAGCTTATCTGACTTCAATCTATCGGCATGGTAGATCATCGGGAAAATCCCAATTACGCTCCCTGATACAAGTCAACATTGGATTTTCATGGACGCTTGAGAACACATTCCTCTACACAATTTAGCCACTGCTACAGGCGGATTTCTTTCAAACGCGTCTCAAAGTCATTTACTGCAAACAGGAAACATGCAGCTAATCAATTCCAGACAAAACACATGACAGTCGTCGTCAAACTTACATGAATGTTTTAATAAATATTTGCCTAACGGTTGGTGAGTAGCGCGCATTTCCGTATGTAAAATATTTTACTTTATTGTTGATTGTTTGGCTTGATATACATGTACTCAAATATTAACGGCAATCCTAGTTTGCTTATCATTTTTGGCCTAACAAAATAAACCCTGTCTGCCTATCGTATTTGTTAACGTTAATACTAATATCACAACAGAAATGCTCGTGAAACGATAATTATTCTTTTTGCAATTGATCATTCTCTATCGTGGTACCGCAACATGCACAAATACCATATTCCTGCAATGTGACCGCAAGAACGTTTCACATGCCTGTAAAACGTTGATAGTGATTTTTCACCATATGTGCACTAACCTGACAATTTATACATTTCGCTAGCGTGATTCAAGCTTTATAATCCTGACTGCGTAGGAATCTAATATGTGTACGAATTATTGGTAACAAGAATTCAGACGTATTCTTCTTGGCGCACGTTGCTCCAGTAACGCGGAAGATGCACAATGAAGCATAATCCACTGATCGAGTTTGCGCTGTATTATTGCACATGCTCAAAGAAATGTAATACTTTGGTTACCAAATTACACACGTATTAACCGTTTTATGTCTCTGACCGTCTAACTAGTTCCCAAAATGTATGGATCTAAAACGCCTTTCAATGCATTTCGATCAGTCTGGCATGTATAGAATTATGGCTTATCTTAAGGTTTTACGAAGCCAACCGGTTGTACAAAAGTTGCGCTTGCGTCAGGTAGGTCGATGTTGCGTGCACATACTTAGCTTGGCAATAATACCAATTTGATTGGCACAAGGGGATTGATTGAGCGTATGAAAATGTTGCCATTGTTAGTCGTAGAAGCGCGAGTTTCTTTGTAAATTCGGAAATTGTACTTGTTTTACTAATGGTGGAATATATGTCACGAATTTAAGGGAAAAGAGCATGAAAATAAAAAGTATATTTGACTAGGGTCCACTGTTTTAAAAATATAAATGCTACACACTCTTGTTGTCAATAAATAAGTAAGCACCATACCTTTAAAAAATGCTTTGTGATAAATCCTTCTGGAGAAGTGTTTCGGCAGCGTCCATTAAAATGAGTTTATTGGCGTCCCATCCTAGCAAACTGAATTTCGGCCCCAAAATATAGCATATTGATTGATTCATTCACAAAAATGCCTCTGCAGAAAGAACCATTTACCTAAAAGCCACTGTTTTCATCACTAAGCTGGATATAAAGCAAGACTTTTGTTGCGTAATAATGATTCTACAATAAACTAAAAATCCTTTTTTCCCAGTAGCATCTTTTCTCATAGACAATGATACAGACACACAATAAGAGTGACCTGCCTATCTTGTGACGCCTTTTACTCAAAAAAAGATTGGATAACTGATGCGAGAGCACTATGGGCAACATTATTTATTCAAGACCCACCGTCAGCGCTTTTAATTTTTTTTAAATTTAATGCTATCGTGGATGATAACTGTAGCCCACTTAGATAAAGCAGTGAATCGCAACCTGACCAAAAATTAAATCCTAAAAATAAATCAACTGTCTAGCATGAACCGTTCAATGCGTTTTGGTATATCTGTGCAGATTGGGCCAGGAAATGTTCCTTCAATTCGTCCATTTAATAAAATTTTTCACACCAATATTTTAGCCCAACGAAACCCAGGTAAGAGGCACCTTAGAATACAATCATGGAAGAAGGAAGGCAAATTTACGCTCTGAGAACAGTAGTAAAAAAGCTCAACGACCGGCACTGAAAAGAGTGTATTGTGGTCTTGGCAAGTGACCTAACGGAACTGATCAAAGGTTCCTGTTCTTTACCATGACATGCACAATTTTCGTTTTGCGCGCCAAGCGTAATATAATGAACTGTCCGGAACCCAAACTTGGTAAAAAATACCATCTTAAAAAACGTAGGGAAACTGGCGACTTATGATTCACTTATATTTTGTCCCTTTTGGAAAATTCATACTAAACAACAGCCTATACTATATTTATGATTGGTGCTGCCCATTATTCACATAATTAATCGAACAACTATCTATACTAGATACCCTATTTAGATATGCCCTTAACGCTTGGAATAAATGACATATATTTATCGAGAACAGCTCCTGTGTTATTCTTATTTTTATTCTTATGAGTATTAGCTTAATGATAAGGGTGCATTGTTATTTTTAGAAAGCATGGGTTATGGACACATTTGTTGCATCCAGGGTGGGTAATGAGTCACTTATGCAATGGCAATATGCGGATGAATTGAAAAATAAGATTTTCCTCTTTGCCAGATAATAAAAATAATCTGTAGTGTTCTGCTGTGTCCTGCGTCAATAATCTACCAAATTGCTAGTTTGAACCTGCTGAAAAACGCGCCTCACTATTTTTCCGTTTTATATCTTCTGATTTTTTACACTGCTGTACCTTGATTATCTATTTATAAAGGAAGGAAGCGGTAATTTACTGGTCAGCAAGCATAACTGTCTTTATTTTGATGCACCCTACCTTTCGAAATAGTTTTTCCACAATTCCGATGGCGCTGTTAGTCGACTGTTCTACTACATCTGAGCCGGGTGTCGGAATATCCCACACCTTATTTCAGTCCTGCGCTGTGACCATCCATATGAATAGTATATCTTCATCTTATCACATCAGAATCAACTCAGACCAACTGGTTGAACAACCGAGATCGGAATCATTTCATCCTACTTCATCTGCAAAGTCGCTTACTCAATTTGGGTTGTTGAGGCCTACAACTCATTGGCTAGGATATTTGTTATAACACTGCGAACGTAAAGAACTGATTGTCAGTGGGTATAGAGAACAAAGCATATTGTTTGAATAATTCGTTTTTCTAACTGACTCTTTACTGCGATAAACCAATTGAATTTTTGAAATTTCTAGTTCAAATCTCTTACCCTCTTACCTTACTCTCTGGTAAGGTCTATCAGAGTATGAAAAGAGTTAAGCCGATTCTGCTTTAGTCACCACGCGACAATTGATAATTAGCTGCATGTTTGCAAATTTAAACTTTGTTATTTTTTTAAATTTATTGCAGCAATTACGCGCGCAAACTCCTGCATTTATCAATATCCTAAATGTCCACAGCT